ACTGGTTAGGTTATAGTATATACGTATGTACCGTATGTACCGTATCATACCGTATCATACCGTATGTACCGTATCATACCGTATGTACCGTATCATACCGTATGTACCGTATCATACCGTATGTACCGTATCATACCGTATGTACCGTATCATACCGTATGTACCGTATCATACCGTATGTACCGTATCATACCGTATGTACCGTATCATACCGTATGTACCGTATCATACCGTATGTACCGTATCATACCGTATGTACCGTATGTACCGTATCATACCGTATCATACCGTATGTACCGTATCATACCGTATGTACCGTATGTACCGTATCATACCGTATCATACCGTATGTACCGTATCATACCGTATGTACCGTATCATACCGTATGTACCGTATCATACCGTATGTACCGTATCATACCGTATGTACCGTATCATACCGTATGTACCGCATCATACCGTATGTACCGCAGTTACAACAGGTAGTTTGTTTCCTGTTGCACCTTCTGATTGGTTCCTTATCTGTGTTTCATTCTAGATAACCTTTCACATGGTAGGTTTGGGTTGGATTTTTTTCTGAAGTACTTGGAACTGAGTTTGAGCTAGCTTGGAACTGTTGTAGGATAGTGTCGATCAGATACAAAGTGTATATTTAGTAGTCAGCAGATTCTTTTTCTGGGCCAATCACGAAATGATGGCAATGCTACATGTAATTTACAGTAAAGAGTCCATACATGTATGTTACATGCTAATGAAAGATACTCTGGACATCAAACAGCTGTATAGACCCTGGTGTATGAAGCCTCTAGTACGGGAAAAGCAACACATAGAATACAATGTTTATGCTGAACCTCGATATAAGGTACAGGAGGATTGGCGCAATAAACGTAATCGCACAATTACAAAACAATATGAATGGAAGAATCGCAATGCACAGCACAAAATGCATACAAAAACAATGCACCCATCATCAATGGTATGTACAAAACAGTTTCATGCTCTCGCAATCACCAGGCATCATCATCAGCGAGAGCATGAAACTTGAAGTAGCAGCAAACAAGCCTTGATTTGTTGTTTTGTATTACGCTCAGTCAGCACACTGGATACATCCTCCGGTCAATGATCTTTTACGTATGTATGTATATTTTTTTTTTTGAATTCGCAAGTACACACAGGTACAAGCAATTACAAGTGAGCGAATGTGATAATGGAGTTAAAGATAGGGGTGTAGGAAGGAGGAGGAGGAGCGTTGCAAAGAAACTATCCTACAACAGTTCCAAGCTAGCTCAAATTCAGTTCCAAGTACAGGTCTGCTTTTATTTGATTTCGCAAGTACACACGGGCACAAGCCCACTTACAAGTGAGCGAATGTGATAATGGAGTTAAAGATAGGGGTGCAGGAAGGAGGAGGAGCGTTGCAAAGAAACAGGGAGAGCAATTCAGGAGCAAATTAACAATTGCACTCGGACGAAGGTAACTGAGATCGAGGATACCCGTGCAGCAATGAAATCTGCGATCTAAAATACAAAGCAATCATACAAATTCAACAAGCAGTAGTCACACTCCCATTCCCACTGTTTCATGATTCAGCTGTGTTTCCTTCCTCTTAGGATCTATGATGACCTGGAACATTGGAACTTTGGGAACAAAATCAGGATAGTCATCGGAAGTGGCCACACTTTTTGTGGCTGTGGAGTATGCAAGATAAGTCACGCAGAAGATTACTAGTTAATTCTATAACTTAGAACCTTCCAAGTTGGAAGGCTGTTGGAGTGCGCATCCAAGATGTGCTCGAGCTGTTAACCAGTTAGTTGTAGAACGTCAGTACCGTCGGTCAGGGTCGTGCAATGTTATCGCATGAGCTGATTGTTTAGTAACTGGTGGTATTAGTGGACAGTATAGCGTAACTTGTAGTTCATTGGTCTTTCTCTTTGTATAAATTAAACCTTGGCTCTCCATCTGAGTCCAAATCCATTTTTATTTCTCTTTCACCCAGATCCGGGAAAGTATAGTCTCTCTGCATACTCGTCAAAATCCCCAGTTTCGAAAAGTTCTAATCTGGTGTTGCGTCCTGCCATCTTCGTCGCCAATTGTTATATCTGGCCTTTAGGGCACACACAATATCACACAGGTTTGTATGATTATTCTAATAGTGAAAGAACTGAAAAACAAGGAAAGAGAGCTCACATTCTTGGGAGTCTAGTGCAGCACAGCAAGCATGCAAAACAGCCACAAGCTCAGGCACTCATGCACCTTATCACATTTACGCACACAACACAAGGAAATATAACTATAATCTCCACTAACACCACCAGTTACTAAACACTCAGCTCATGCTTTGACATTGCACGACGCTGACCTTCCTTTCCCCTCCTTATGGTAATTCTATAAATTAGAACCTTTCAAGTTGGAAGGCTGCCGGAGTGCGCATCCAAGATGTGCTAGAGTTGTTAGCCAGATGGTTGTAGAACGTCTGTACCGTCGGTCAGTGTCGAGCAATGTTATCGCACGAGCTGATTTTTTAGTAACTGGTGGTGTTAGTTATAATGTTTGACATTATAGTGTAACTTGTATTTCCTTGCTCCTATTTAATCTTTTCCTAGAACTACTATTTCCGAGGCTACGGGCAGCCTTTGGGAGAACCAGGAGAAGGCCAAAACCCAGTTCACGGTACTAACAGCTTTGAACACAGCCGTTCTTTCACATCGTGAATAGAATAAAACAATTGAAATGACCAAATTCTACAGTGATCGACCTTCTCTCTCACGGAGCTAAGCAGAATGTGCGTCTCCACTGCGCTGGTCGCTATGAAAACGTGAGCATACAACTGGCAATTTGGCACGTTTGGCTTATTGCATGCAAGAGAGAGAAATGCCATTCAAATCGATACCAAATTGTCTTTCTTCTGGAACCTACTTGAAAATTCGATGCACTTCCCCTTTGACACACTTCGTAGGTAGGAGCTGAGAAAACTACGGGTCCTCCCACTGCTATTTTCTACCCGCTACCAGCTGTTTTACTCGTGATACGCCTCCATCAAAAACCGAAAAAAGCACATCCTTACTACGGCCCATCATTACTAGTAATCTCCTGTGTGACGTATCTTGCATACCCCACAGCCACAAAATATGCGGCCACTTCCGATGACTATTCTGATTTTGTTCCCAAAGTTCCAATGTCCCAGGTCATCATAGATCCTAAGAGGAAGGAAACACAGCTGAATCATGAAATAGCGGGAATGGGAGTACGACTACTGCTTGTCACACAAGACTTACAGTACTTGTAATCCTGGTGTGTCCCGAGGCACTCCATTTGGAAGATGCCGGAGGTTATTATTACTCAAATATCTGAACAAGGAAGGAAAGAGTGTGAAAGAATATTTGAAATTGCGTCTAAATACCATTTGACTGGGGAAATTATGGTTATTTTTTTCAGAGACATTAGGAGTGAATCAATGGCCAAACGATGTTGCAGTGATTTTGCTCCACGGAGCCCTACTGACACCGGGAGGTGAAACGCACCTAGAAGCTCTGCAGGAGGTTTAAGAGTAACTGAATGAAGGTACAAAAGCAAGTACAGGAACCAAAGGCTATAATTCTAAAAGCATTGTCCTGCCCTTGTTTACGGTGTTGACTATTCAGCACTATTCAGCAGCAAGGACCTCAGACACATTTTCCTTTTTCCTGGTACTGCCAGCTTTGGTGTGAGACGCCCACCATTGACAGAGAGGTTACCTGCATTTTTTGAAACTTCAAAGCCTTCAGAAGACCAACTCTGTGGGCTTTTTGGGGTCCCAAGGCACTTTCTTGCTTTATTGGCGATACTTGTTTAAAATGGCACATTCAAATCCGTTGATCCAACCGTACAATGTAAAGTATAAAAGAAAGGACAAAGGGTCTGAGATCCTTACTACTAGATAGTTCTCAATCCGCTGACAATTGCAAAGAAAATTCACACGGCACAACAACAGAGATCCACATCCATCTTGGGTCCGAGTTTCGTCTTCAGTAACATTCAGACACGGAAGCATTATTTGCTTTTCACTGGTTAAATAGGGCTTTTGTAGCTAGGCAATCAACAGACAACTGATAATTGCACCTACCCAGCAGTATGCCTATACACACAGCCACAGGCATGCACACATTTAGTGCTAGGTGTGGAGGCGTAAGGAACGGAGAGAAAGCATACGCGGGCCAAGGCGCTAGAAGAGACAACAGGCGAATGGAAGTGTCAGGAGGGTGGCGGGCAACAGGCAGGTGTGAGACCATGTCTGAGAAAACCAGAAAAATTGTGCAAGTCGATCTATCCAATTTCGCTTATATGTTGCATGTAAGTTTCCTCTGGGGTGGCAATCGACTGTGCCAAGCAAACTGACAAGTTTCAGATGGGAAGTTTCTGAAGGGAAGTTTCTGAAGGGAACGTTGCAATTGGCAAACCCGCAAAAAAAGCCGAAAATCACAAGATTCATGGGACTACACATGAGCCACGCCACAGCGTACAAGAATAGGCTGCGAACAAAACTCCATCCAACCAACATTGCCTTACCTTAGAAGAGCAGCACCGTCGAACCACGCCCGCATCCCGGAAGACTAGGGCCATTATCCCTTGACACCACAAATGGCTGTCTTGAAAACAGCCAAATTACAAGCGTTTATGAAACAGCCAGCTACTTCCTCAATCAGCATGCACTATACACCGTCAGATAGTGGAACACCTATTCTAGCACTGACGACATGTCCATCCTCATCCTTTTTGGGTTTTCTCGCAATTTTCTTGAAATTTTCCCTTCAACCATGCTGACACTTTTTTATTTTTTTTATTTTTTTATTTTTTTGATGCAAGTCATGTAGATCTACTATCAAGAGTCTAAAAACAACAAATAACTCCAAAGCACGAAAAAGGCACAAAAATTAAACCAAAAACATGTGCAATAACATGTTATGTTACCATGCTGAAATACGTCCAAACTCATTCCTGCGCAGGAAAGCTTGCTCTTCGCGATGTCGATAGTCAGCATTTTCTACTCCAACATCACTCCCAACGCTGCAGAACGAAGTGTATTGTTTACTCTGACAATGAAAGCAGCGGCGATCACTTGTCACTCCAAACGACAAGCTTAAAGTATCCTTGCACCACCAAAACTATTCCGTGCAACAGTTCATGCAACAGTGACTGAAATTTTGCGTGTAGTTTTTGAATTTTACGCAAGAGGAATGATGAAATCACGCACATGCACTTATGTGGATCGCCCGTCGATCGGGATATAGAGAATCCTCATGCCCAGCTCAAGAGCATGCAGGTCATGTGGGAGGCCTTCCATCCGGGCTTTACCTCAACATTCAGCACAGGGATTAGGATGAATAGGGTCAAATCTTGTAACGTCGTTGTTCACGATGTAAGAAATCTGCCATTTTGGAACTCCGCCGCATACCCCATGCAGCCAGTGTAGGCCACGGCCGCGCGTTGGTCAACTTCATGCGACCTTGATAGCATGCTCGACGTTATTTGGGATGAGCGAGATTAGTGTGAAAGAATGCATACCTGTTCTTACTGCAAGAGGAACTATCTCAACGAATTATTGCCAATGCAATAGGTCTATTGCTAGAACGCTAGGTTCTGAAGGTTCTGAGTAGAGCATGCAGTAAATATAATGCGTCTTTTTTCCTCCGCCATGCTCAATTCCGAATAGCGCCTCAGGAAAGATAGTAACCGTGTGCACCGTGTCGTGAACAAGAAAGCGTTAAGCATTAAGGCACGTGATTTCATCATTCTTCTTGCTGTAAAACTAAAAAAACTACACCCAAAGTTTCAGTCACTTTTGCGTGAACTGTTGCACGGAAAAATGTTGGTGGCGCAAGGAGAAGCTTGTCATTTCAAGTGAACAGTGATCACCGCTGCTTTTCGTTGTCAGAGTCAACAATACACTTTGTTCTGCAGAGTTGGGAGTGGTGTTGTAGGAGAAATTGCTGACTGGACATGGCGCAGGGGCGAGCTTTACTTCGCAGGTATGAGTTTGCACATATTTCAACATGTTTGAAGGGAAATTTCAATTTTTTATATTTCAAGAAAACCCCAAAAGGACGATGGGGACATGTCCTCAGTGCTAGAAGATGTGTTCTACTATCTGCCGGTGTATAGTGTTTGCTAATTGAGGACGTAGCTCGCAGTTTTATCAGCGCTTGTAATTTCGCTGTTTTCAAGACTACCATTTGTGGCGTCAAGGAATGATGGCCCTTGTTTTCTGAGATGCTGGTATTGCTAAGCGGCCCCGCCCCAAAAACTCGTCTTAGGTGAGGCAATGTTGGCTAGATGGAGTTTAGTTAGTAGCTTTAGTTTATTCTTGTACGCTGTGGCGTGGCTCGTTTGCAGTCCCACGAATCATGTGATTTTTCTGCCATTTTGTTAGGTATGCCAATATCAAGGTTCTCTTTAGAAACATTTCCGCGGGTTTTGCACAGTCAGTCTACATCCCAAAGGAAACTTACCTGCAAAATTCGAGCGAAATCGGACTTGCAATTTCTTTTTGGTTTTCTCAGACATGCTCTCTTAAAGCGCGGACAGAGGCTATTGGGAGGCAGTATACAGCAATTTGTTTATGCCTGTGGCTCTGTGGTCACATTGTAGAGTGCAGATCACCTAGTGCTTTCATCAATAATTGTACTTTCACATCATGGGAATTTGGTTGTTGTGAAACCAAAAGTTCTCGAGAGTGAAAGGCCTTCTCGCTTGTGACATTGTGTTTGTTCCAATGCAGTTGTATCCCGACTGCGCCGTGCCGTTGATGTTTACGACTTGGCATACGCTACATGCGGTATGTGCGGTTTGCTGTGTGCGCTGTAGTTGTATGTTGTATGTGTATGCGTTTGCCATATACGCTGCCATTTTCACGCTATAACTACCTGGTGGTTTTAGTGTTTGTTATTCATTGTTCATTATTATTAGTCGATGGAAGTGAAATATACTGTGAAGAGAAATAGTTGTCCTCGTGCCCTGTGGTCGTTCGTTCCTGACACTTTAGAGAACCAGAGGGTTCACAACATTTGGCGACCACGCCAGGATACGAAGCGGGCACGGCACAGGAATTCTGGAAGCCCGCTTTATCGCCAATGGAATTCTGTTAGGATTGGAAGGCGATGAGTTGAGAGAACATGTAAAGAAGAGGCTCCGACAGTGCGAGGAGTTCGACGAGCGCAGTGCTAGACGGCAAGAGGGTGCGCTTGGCACAGAGGTTAACGAAACGCTCAAGAAGATGGACGAGCGCATCGCCGTCAGTACATATGAGGAAGCAAAGCGAGATTTGCTTGCCTCGCTCGGAAGGGCGCAAGACGTAGAGGCGCAAGACGTAGAGGCGCAAGACATAGAGGCTCAAGACGTAGAGGCGCAATACGTAGAGGCGCAAGACGTAGAGGCGCAAGACGTACAGGCGCAAGACGTAGAGGCACAAGACGTAAAGGTGCAAGACGTAGAGGCGCAAGACGTAGAGGCGCAAGACGTAGAGGCGCAAGACGTAGAGGCGCAAGACGTAGAGGCGCAAGACGTAGAGGCGCAAGACGTAGAGGCGCAAGACGTAGAGGCGCAAGACGTAGAGGCGCAAGATGTAGAGGCGCAAGACGTAGAGGCGCAAGACGTAGAGGCGCAAGACGTAAGGGCGCAAGACGTAGAGGCGCAAGGTGTAGAAGCTAAGGCAATGAGAAGGGCGATACTGGTTAGCACGGAAGAGGTCAACGGCGAGACTGTGTGGAACACAGAAATCGGATGTGTGTCCTCGGGTCCCGCGCCTGCCCCGGGTTGAGACAGTGTACGGGTGACCGTGTCGTGTGTGACAGCCCACAGTGGCGAGCTTGGTGAAAGTATCGGTTGTGTGTTGTCTGGTCCAGCGTCCGCCCCATGTCGAAGTGGATCGATGACAGTGTCGTGTGCGACAGCCCACAGCGGCAAGCTTCGCGAAATCGAGTTGGCCGAAGTGGTGGGTATTAGTGATATTCTAACATGGCCAACTTCGCAGCAGCGGATGACGCGTAGTAAGCCCCAAATCGTTTGACTTGTGAGTTGTTGTACGGCGATGAGAAGCCCTTTGGTGGGGAGAATGTTGTGAAACTACAAGTTCTCAAGAGTGAAAGGCCTTCTCGCTTGTGACATTGTGTTCGTTCCAATGCAGTTGTATCCCGACTCTGCCGTACCGTTGATGTTTATGACGTGGCAAATGCTACATGCGCTATGTGCGGTTTACTGTGTGCGCTGTAGTTGTATGTTGTATGCGTATGCTTTTCTCATATACGCTGTCATTTTCACGCTATAACTACCTGGGGGTTTTAGTGTTAGTTATTCAATGTTCATTATTATTAGTCGATGGAAGTGAAATATACTGTGAAGAGAAAAAGTTGTCCTCGTGCCGTGTGGTCGTTCGTTCCTGACACTTTAGAGAACTAGAGGGTTCACAACATTGGTATAACCCCACACCCGTCATTGTTGAATACTCGATAGTAGCATGGATTTCCCAAACAATTTATTATTATTTTTGTGATCCTCTCCCATGCTGTTGTATATAAGCGGCTTGCCGTGGATATGTCAATACTACTACTTCTTTGGCTCTATGTGTTTATATATATATATGCAGACTGCTGGGCAGATGCAAGTGTCAGTTGTCTGATGATTCCTAGCATGCAACTCACAGTTACAAAAAACCTGAACGTCCTCCTCTGAGTCTGGTATGTACTAAGCTCTGTCTCGGACATTGAGCACTCTCTGCAGCTCGGGGATCAACTGATTTGATTTAAGGCAATTGTAGTGCAGGTTAAGGCAGTGCTGCAACCCAGCTATGTGATAATACCATGGTTGGAATATACAGTGGGTGATTCTAAAGCAATCGGCATGGCTGAGGTATACAGGTACAGAGGAGAGATAAAACCGGCGCTGGAAGTACGTTTCCATGGAATTCAGGCAAAAAAGTTGGGGAGTAGGTAGTACAAAGCAGATACTAGAGATCTGTAGCTGGGACGATAACGGTAAATTACTCAGTACTAGTATTCCGCGGTGACAAAAGACGGTACTGGGTAACCGAAAAACGATAAGGGGCTCAAAGTACGAGCCGACGTTCGATATCGTAATCCTGCAAAAATGCGAAAACCTGCACCGCTTTGTAACTGGCAGGAGTTAAAAAAAATGTAGATGTAGACCGAGGTCAGGATTGCTCCCTCAAGTGAACAATTTATGAGTCACTAGCAATAGAAAGGTTCCGGAGTACGATTTTTCGTGTGTTAAAAGTTAAAACCCGTAGAGGTGCTACAGATTTATATTATGTCGTTTTCGAGCAGTGAGATAAGTATTATGTTATCGCATAGTTGCAAGGGCCTTATGGCATATTAGAATCAACTCGTAAAAACTCCAAGTCAATCTCCCATTGACACAAACCTTGTTTATTCAACATAATCATATCATTTCCAATAAGGGGCCGTCCAAGGTTACCAATAATATTTTCAAAACGAAATGTTTTCGTTTGTGGGTGGGTGGGTTTGATGGAGTTTCGTTTTGAAAATAATTATTGAATGTAGATGGAGAATGTCCAGTTACTTCTGGGTGTCGAAAATTGACATCAATATTTTATTGGAATTCGTTTTACCTGCAGAAAAGATGGGTGGGTGGGTGGGGGCTGAAAAATACTAAAACTTTTCGTTTTGTAAAAACAATCGGTAACCCCGGACGGCCCCTAAAACCAGTTCATAAAAACAGCATTTTTAGGATCGGACCCAGTCCGCATAACCAAGAGAGCTAGCTCCCTTGGATGCTGTTGGAATATGCAAGAATGGGCCTTCCAGATAAGGTCTAACAAGGAGAAGTGGCTATAGTTATGAAATGAACACCGGTAACCATGGAGACAGACCACACTCTCATTATAGATACTGGTTATAAATAGACCGAACAAGGAAAATGATCTGATAGCCTATGAAGAGTAAAAGAAATTGAACCAATAGACATCCTTAGCAAAAGTACGATAACGCTAACTTTTACGGTACTCACTCCCAGCCGTGACAAAAGACGTTATTGGATAACGGAAAAACGTTACAGAGCTCAAAATAACGGGCCGACGTTCGTTATGGAAATTCTGCAAAAAATGCAAAAGCTCGCATTGTTTTGTAACTGGCGGGAGATAAAAAGCACGTGCAGATCGAGATGAGAGTCGAGATTGCTTCCTCTTGTGACTTTAAGCTTTTTTGGCGAGTTTTGCCTTTCAGTTGACAATGTCTGCGTTCTCTGCTTCGTGCCTTTCTCCCTCTATCCCATCTGGGAAACAAAGGACCAGTTCCACGTCTCTCCTGAAGAAGAAATTCATCGGCCTCTCCCAGACGTGCTGGAGCTGGAGAACTCTTACAGTCTTCGGGGCTGCGTTTAGGAAAGGTTTTTCCAGGACCTGGGAACAGCGAAAACTCATTTTCGCCGTGCTTTTGCTATTCCAGAGTAAAAGACCTCGCCAAGGTATTCTTTCGGAACGACAGCAAACTAATTCCTGGTTCAAAATTTTGAATTTCCCGCACCTGTTTCCACGAAAATTCATACCGCCATGGTTGTCACGACTACTTCGTCTCAACTATAACGTACTTTGTGCTAAGTCAGCTTGAACGATCCGAAGTACGGAAAGGTTTGCGTTTACGTTTTTTTTGCTAAGGATATCTATTCACAACAAATACTCGTCCAGCACACGAGTTGTCATAGCAACACAAATAACAGCTGTCCACTAATTTTGTTGTTGGAAATTGAGTAGGAGTTTTTACTAGTTGATTCTTAATACAATAAATGCTCCGGCCTTGGGTTTGTGACCCATAAAAACTAAAAATAAAACCTCGGGGACCTCGGTTTTTATAATAGTTTATATTGGTCATAAACCCTCGGCCTTCTCATTTATTGTATACTTATTGCCCCGAGAGGTTAGCCCGAGGGCCGTAGGACGAAAGGCTAACATCGAGGGGCAATAATATGCCATAAGGCCCGCAGCAACCATGCGATAACAAATTTATAACATGGTCCACAGAGCAGACCATTGGGCTGCTGTTGAAATTAGCCCAAATGCCAACACACTATGACCACAACGTATATTGATGTGCTATCATTATCAAAACAGGAAAAAAGAAGATATTTCTCCTACACCCTAACAAAAAGTCTCCTACAGGCCATCCGAGAATAAAGGGTACTGAAAGACGGAGACAGAAAAAAAATGCCGGCACCGCATCGTCATAGCAAAAGACATGACAACGACAAGAAAATACAGCAGAATCACAAATTCAGCTGAAAACTTAAGAGTGCTACCACAAAGAGTTTCTTCATGTTTATATGTGTATCAGGAAGTTGTCAAATACAGTACTGCAACATGTGCAAGTATTTGACGACTCCCTGGTGTGTAATTCTGAGGACAAATTTTCTTCTTTTTTTTCAGCTCCAGATAGCTGTAATTTTCATTGCAAAACATTCCTGAATTGTTGTGTTTGTTGTTCAAGCAAAGATGAAGGCAGAGGACAGATGAGCCTGGTAAGAGTTTTGCGTGGCACATGAAAACCACACACAGGCAGTTAATTGGCGAGGATCTGAAAACGCACGACGCTGAGTTGAATTTGTGTTATTTCAAATAATTGTTTGTGATCACAGTACCACGTCGAGCAGAACTGAATCTTATTTACAAGCTTACCGACGGTCAGGCTGCCAACATGACTGAACAAATGATCCCTACAAGCACCACACGGCAGACGTCCGAGGCCATGTCTATTGCCGGGATGTCCATCTGCACCAAGAATTCCATCTTCGTCTCAATGCTACACTGTGACTCGTCGTAGAGTCGTACAGTCTACAGAGTCGTCGTGCCACGCGATCACTGAAATAAACTATTTTTTTGCTAGCAAATAAACCATTTTTTGCATGCAATATTGCATATTATTACAAGCGGCGCGAAAGGTGCTGATTCGCTGGAGTAGGGGCAACAATCACGTGCCATGTGATAATCCGGAATACGGAACTTACATGTATGTGTTTGCCGTCATTGACTAGATTACGATCGCAACACGTTATACTCTCACACTATTCCTTTTTATTTTGAAAATGTACTGAAATCAAAACTTCTGGTGGAAAATCGATGTTCCCTGTACCAAATTTGTAAGCGAAAAATCTGTCTGCGACCGATGATGCGAAATCTCCACACGAACATGGTTCGTATGAAAGCCAGTCCACACTGATTCTCCGTGACGAAAAGTAGTATGAAACACAATTTGAAAAAATCTGTAGCGCCAATACGGATTTTGGCACGGAAAGTGGTACCCGGAACCTCTCTTACACGGCAAACGTACGCTGTATGAAATTACTGCATTTGAAAACTGCTTCGACAGTCTTCTCTGATGTTCATTGTTTGTCTCACGAGGTGATGTCAAAGAGGAGTCTTTATTCATGATAGATATCCTCAGTGGGTGATAGCCAGGTAACACGGGGCTTGGTAAGGGCGAGTCGAGAACTTCACAAAATATAATTGCATTGCCAAACTAA